CCCCCAAAACCCCAAAACCCCAAAACCCCTTTAGTGGCTGCTTTTATTGCAATAACTTTAGTACAAAAAAAAATATAAATTATTAAATAATTAAGAATCCAGAAATATGGAAGCTACTGGTGAAGTGAAATTAGTGGATAAGTATATGAGAAAGGATGTTGAGGATTTACTCAAGAGAAAATTCTTTGTGGTGCAATCCTTTGAGATCTATGGTGGTGTTGCTGGGCTCTTTGACTTTGGTCCTCTCGGAGCTGCACTCAAGAACAATGTTGAGCAGCTTTGGAGAAATCATTTCGTGCTTGAGGAAGATATGCTTGAAGTTTCATGCTCTGCTCTGACACCTGAAGCCGTGCTCAAGACCTCAGGACATGTTGATAAGTTCGAGGACTTCATGGTAAAGGATACTAAGAATGGACAATGCTATAGAGCAGACAAGATTCTTGAAGATCATATCGACAAAGTTCTTCAGAAGAAAGCTAAAAAGATGAAACAGGAAGAGATTGAAAAACTTGAGAAGATCAAAGCTCAAGCCGATAGCTTCAGCCAGACTGAAATTGGAGAAATATTGAAAGAACTCAAGGTAAAAGCTCCAGATACCGGAAACCCAATTAGTGATCCAGTCCCATTCAATTTAATGTTTTCTACTCAGATCGGTCCATCAGGAAATGCCAAAGGTTATTTCAGACCAGAGACTGCACAGAGTCAATTTGTAAACTTCAAGAGACTTCTTGAGTTCAACAACGGTAAACTTCCATTTGCTTCAGCTTCTATTGGTCTCGGATTTAGAAACGAGATTTCTCCAAGAGCTGGTCTTCTTCGTGTCAGAGAATTCACTATGGCTGAGATTGAGCATTTCTGTGACCCTTTGAACAAGGATCATCACAAATTCTGCTTAGTCAAAGATGAGACACTTCCTTTGCTTTCAAAGGAAAAACAACTAAGCTTAGAAGATCCAATTACTGATTTGACAGTGAGTGAGGCAGTAGAGCAAGGAATCATCAATAACCAGACTCTTGCCTACTTCATGACAAGAACCTTCCTGTTCTTTGAGAAATGTGGTATTCCAAGATCAGCAATCAGATTCAGACAGCATCTAGATACCGAAATGGCTCATTATGCTTCAGATTGTTGGGACTGCGAAATTGAGACCTCGTATGGATGGATTGAGATTGTTGGTCATGCTGATAGATCATGTTTTGATCTTGACTGTCATTCAAAGTACACCAAAACTGAATTATTAGGCTCCAGACCATTAGAAACTCCAATTGAAGTGTCTACTACTTACATTCTCCCTGATAAGAAGAAGTTAGGTAAAGCATTGAAGAGAGACTGAAAATTGTTATGTGACTACCTAGATGGTCTTGATGAAGATGAAAGACAGAGCATCCATAAGCAGTATGATGAAGCAGACACTGAATTTGAGATTGATGTTGGTAGCAAGAAAATTACAGTTCCAAAAGACTCAATTGAAGTTAAGATTGACACAAAAATGTCGATGGAAGAAAAATTTGCTCCTCATGTTATTGAGCCAGCGTTCGGTATTGGTAGGGCAATCTACTGCATTTTTGAGCATTGCTTCAGAAAGAGACCTGATTCTGAGACAAGAACATACTTCGCATTCCCAGCTATGATCGCTCCAGTTAAAACTTCAATTTTGCCACTTGTTTCAAATAGCGATGAACTCTTGAAGCATGTCTATGAACTCAAGACTAGACTTAACAAAGAGGGTGTCTCATCAAAAGTAGACGATAGTTCTCAGACAATTGGTAGGAGATATGCTAGAACTGATGAGTGCGGTATTCCTTTCGCTATCACAGTTGATAATGACACTTTGACTGATAATACTGTCACTCTTAGAGAGATCCATACTACAAAGCAAGTCAGAATCCCTATCGATGACCTCTCAGAAGTTATCCTTACTCTTTCCAAGGGTATGCTAACCTGGGAGAGTATCCAAGAGAAATATCCAAACTTTGAGACAGAAAAGGAGGAGAGCTAGATCTGTACTTATTGCATAAATCCTATACTCAAGAATATTCCAATTTGTGTCTGGTTTACACAAGCTCATAACTTTTTTGCCTTAAGATTTTTAACTCTTGTCTAGCTCTAGCTTCACTTAAGCTGCTCTTCTTCCATTTGAGAAGCAAGCTTGTGGCTGAGAAGCATAACCTTAAAGGATGCAAAGGACTAGACTAGGTTAGAAGCAAACCCAATGAGCAAAAGTGTAGCAAAAAGATTTAGAGTCTTTGGATCTTAAATTATTGGGTGTTTTCAGCTAGATTTAGCATAAAAGGGGTTTTGGGGTTTTGGGGTTTTGGGGTTTTGGGGTTTTGGGGTTTTGGGG